CGTTGTCTGTTTCAGGTGAAGTTCTACCTGGTCTTGAGCACCTCGGCCATCAGCATCCACACCACCTCTCTAAGCGTGCAGCTGACTCTGTCCACGTGAGTGTGTTTCTGCTCCAGACCTGCGGGGGTGATGGAGAGCAGATGATGATGATGATTGTGTGTGTGTGTGTGTGTGTGTGTTCATCAGGATCAGTGAGCAGCCGTCTCTGGCCCCGGTGTCTGCGTTTGCTCGGGTGGTGATCGAGCTTCCTCTGCTGCTCAGCGGGTCAGTGCTGACGACCAATCAGATCACAGCTGATCGTCACTGCTGATGCGCGCTCTCATGTGTGTGTGTGTGTGTGTGTGTGTGTGTGCAGTGTGGCTCGTCCTCATCAGCTCTTCTTCAGTGGTGCCGTCAGAGGAGAGAGCGCCATGAGCACGCTGGAGGACATCGGCAGCCCGGTGGAGTTTGAGTTCATCGTGAGTTTATCACTGCGCCCAGATCAGTTTCAGCAGCTGCAGATAATACACACGTGCTGCACACGGAGACCACACACTCTCATGTAAAGCTCCTCATTCCTAAATAGGGTTTCAGACATGCGTGAGTTTCCCGCACCGGGACTGCAGTATATCCGCCTGTTCAGTGCTGGTGTTCGGGAGTTTCCTCTTTCACCAACTTTCCCAAGATTCTCCTGCTGTTAGCGTGACACTCGGCTCATCACGTCTCAGCGCAGCCACTGCTTGAATGGTTTGGGTCTTGTGTTGACGTGTTCTGCAGAACTGTGTGGGACTGTCCCCCATTCAGGACAAGCATCCTCTGATCAAGTGGAGTGGAGCTGGACTCACTTTCAGACACTGACGAGATGCATAATGCTGTGTGTGTGTGTGTGTGTGTGTGTGTTCAGGTGTCCAACAGCGGTTTGTCTCTGCAGACGCTCGGCTCTGCGTCTCTGAATGTGTTCTGGCCGTACGAGCTGCCCAACCGCAAGTGGCTGCTGTACCCGAGCACCCTGCAGATGCTGGACCAGTCCAAAGAACAACACTGCCCACCCCAGGCTGACCTCAACAAACTGCAGCTCACACACACACACACTGACCAGGTGCTCGCACACACTAACCAGGTGCTCACACACACACACACACACACACACACACAGTGCTGACTGCAGCAGTGTGTTTTCTGTGCAGAGCCGCCGGTCGGTGCGTTCCCATCAGCAGGCAGTGTCAGACTCGTCCTCTATGGCTGCAGTGCCGTCTGTGTCTGACAGGAGGCGCTCTCTCACACTGGTGAGTGTTCTGGAGCATATGAAGAGGTCCAGCTGAGGTGCAGAGAAATACAGCTGAGTGTGTGTGTGTGTGTGTGTGTGTGTGTGTGTGTGTGTTTCAGGATTGCGCTGTGGGCTCCGCACGCTGCCTGCACTTTCAGTGTCCTCTGCAGTCGCTGTCTGGCACGATGCGCCTCCGGATCAAAGGTCACCTGTGGAACAGCAGCTTCATCGAGGTCAGACTCTACTTCAGTCCTCATTACCTGGAGGATAGAGCTCACACTGCAACTAAACACAGCATGTCAACATTTAATAAGCAGGATAATGTAGATCCAGCCGGTGGTTCCGGCAGAGTAAAGCCGGCCCGGTTTATCAGTAGCAGATTAATAAAGCGGTTATTCCTCACCACAAAACTGGACTATTAGGCATAGAGCACGCAGCTCCTGCCCTCTCTGAGGGAGCGAACTCTGCGGAGGAAAATCATTTGGGCTGCTAGTGTCCGAGGTCTGACCCAAACTCATGACCACAGGAGAGAGAGAGAGAGAGAGAGAGAGAGAGAGAGAGAGACAGACAGAGAGAGAGAGAGCGAGAGAGAGAGAGCGATTGGCTTTCAGCTCAGCTGCTTCTTCAGCACATGGAGCGGTACATTGGCCCATTCCTGCTGCTACTTCACTGGT